AAGTACACACTTCACAGGCAAGGGAATAGACCCTTCATGAAAGGACAAAGGGAGCAAAGAAGAATGGGAAGGAAAGAATGCAATGTATTTTTAAGATGGAATTGAAAGCTGAATGTAATAAAAAGCCCAACAGACCTCCCTTACAGAAGAGCTTTACAGGCATGTTCCTAAAAGCAAGCAGGACTCAGAATATCATATGTGTGAGAACTAATTCAAAGCTCAACACAACAGCTTCTGGAACTTTAGCGGATAATCCATATTAATAAATATGTAGGGGCCTGCAGGGCTTGTCACTCTGGAGTGCTTGCTGGTTCTGGAACATGAATTTCTTACATTTTAAAACATATACTCACTTAAAAAAACAAGACAAAAATAAAAATCTATTTTCCTCTTAAAACAAGGATTATTTTAGTCACTGAAATAAAAGCAGAAGTGAAGGAGGCTCAGATTTGTGGATTTCTCTCTGGAAGATGCAGCCTATGGTCGGAAAGCACTACTGCACATATAATAGTTCTCACTTCTGAGTGCCAGCCACAGTGGCAAAAATGCCACAACTGAATCAACTTTCAAAGAGGAGCTAGAACGCTGTGTTAGCTGTGCTCGTCCAGTTTCTTCGGAAACATAAAGGTGAGCTGATAGCTTAACCAACGGGAAGCAGTCACTACTTTATCCACTCTCATTCCTCAGGGATCCCACCGAGACCACTAAGACCATTTCCAGAGGGAGGCCTACTCAGGCCTCTAATTTCAGTGGGAGAATTTCTGCACTATCTCACTCTTTTTCAAAGAGTTGAGAAGCGACTGCACGACACATGCAACATGGACCATCAAGGTACCAAGCCAGTCCACATAAAAATAACTGACAACCACCTAAGTCCGGAAGTTGTTCTCTGTTATAGCAGGGTACTGAGAATGTGAGTCCTCCTCCTCAGAGGATGTATCTTCATAGCTTTCACCTTGGGCAATAATGCTTCCTAATCCATACTCCTGCTCATGAACAGAAACCTCATTTGGTGTGAGGTGAAAAGAGCCTTCCACAAAGTCAGCAAATCTGGAAAAGAGAAGATAATATTCATTAGGAACTTTCTGTGCTTTCTAGTTTTTTTCAAAATTATAAGTTGAAACCCTTGATATGCTCACAGTCCAAATTATGTTGTGTCTAGCCAATATCATGGTCCTTACTCTAGCAGTTAAGTGGACTAAAGCAAAAAATAAGGAGAAAAAGAAAGCTGGGATCACAGGCCAACATTCCCTGTAACTACATCTTGCTTAATAAGCACTAGCCTATCCTTTTTAGTTATAGAAGTTCTAAGGTTCCTCTAGTTATCCATAATCCTGATAAGAGATTAAGGGTCATTACATATTCATTCATGTTTATGGTCTTATAAACTTTGTCATGAGGATTCCAAATTGAAGCTTCATTTGTATAGTTGCTCCAAGGAGAAAAAGAAAACTCAGAGAGCAATTCAAAGCTATCAGAGGGGAAACTTAATATGGTACTGGAGTCTTCTCATTTCAATGCTACAAGCAAAGCTAGAATAGATAGCTCCTTGAGGAACCAGAAAATAGGCTACTACTTAACATATGGATGATATACATACTTTTCTCTTGACTAGTTCTAGATGAAAAGGAAAATAAAGCCACAAATACAAAATGATTATCTAGACGTATGATCTCTGTTAAAACTCAAAGTCACAATTATCCTAATAGATGTTTGGCATATCTGATCAAGAGTTTACCTCTTTGGAGACTGGATTCGAGAAATAGTCTTCCAAGCAGAGCAGTCTGGACTGTTACAATATTCTCGAAGCTCCTCTAAAGCCTTTCGGGTCTCCACCTCTCCTTGTATCCGATACTCTTCTTCTGTCAGGAGACGAGGGGAGACAGTCTTTTCTGTTGCCTTACACATCTTTCTGCGCTTACCAAAATAACACCATGAATCATTAATCAGTAATCTATATCCATCCTTACTTCTAGCTCCCTTCAGAGGGCCAAGCATACAGAAGAAAGCCTGAATTTTAAGAGTCATCACTCTCATCTTTCCTCCACAGATGTCTTTAGTTATAAAGATATATAACTCTTGATACATTAAACTATGAGTAACAAGTCAGAGTAGTCAATGTTATTCACTAAAGTGAATAAATTCACTTATTTTCCAATAAATGATAGACAAAGTATTTATTTTCCAATAAATGAAAAAATGACAAGAAAATGATGGTATAAGACTGTGGTCCATTAACTTGGTTCCTCGGACTGAAGGGATCACCTTGACTATCTGTAATAGAATAACCACTGACAATCTCAGAACCTAGGACCATTCCATATTCACTATGCAAGGTGATAACGAGCTATGAATTACATCTTAAGAACTGGACTCCCAGAGCAATCTGAGAGTCAGCGTGAAACAATCTGAAACCAGGTGACCTGAGGCATGTGATATAAAAGTAATGTACTTTGCACCACCTAGTGGTAACAGGAACATATGACACTTTACTGGATGCTTTTATTTTATATAAAATGACTAGAATAAAATGATAAACATGCCTATAGAGAGTCTAAAAAAAGAGACTCAGGAAGGAACAGAAGTAAAAGTAATAACACAATAAATTTTCATTAACAAAAAGGTTCCCAGGTCAACGATTCGGTATCCTTTTGCTGTAACTATATCCCACACTGCACTTTCCAATAGGTACATTGCCTTTCAGTCACCTGTAGGTGATGTACAGCCACTGAATAGGGTACTCCAGGTTCTTAGTACACAGCGCAATGATGATAATGGCAAGGGCAATGTGCGGTATCTGGATACTAGAATACATTAAACACAGGCCCATCAGCTGCAAAGTCCAGGTCAGCAGGTTGATACTTCGCTCATTCTCCAAAGGCCCATACTTGTAACAGACTGCAAAACTCATGAATCCAACTGTGAGGATATAGCCTATAAGAAGAGTTAACAGAAGACATCCTTTTTCATCTATAACTGGTAAAAATAATTTGTGTGGGGAACAGCACTAAATTCACTATATAGCACCTATTGAACCAGGAAAATGGACAAGATCTTTACTCAGTTATCTGTACTTTTATTCATTATTTGAATATATTTATCTCTTTAAGCTTCTATCCTTCCTGTTGTCCCAGATTTACCTGGTTCAGATGGAGCACTGTGCCATGTTAAATAATTCTAGAATAGTCTTTTTAAAAAACCTAATATATGAAAATCTGGATTAATCACCTCTAAAAGCATAGATTAAGGATTCTTATTTGTATAACCAAGAGATTATTGCTTTATGGATAGGATTCACTGCAGAGTTCTTTGTTTCTTAAGGTCTTCAAGTACATTTAAAATATAATTATTGTGCTTGCTTCGGCAGGCTATATACTAAAATATTAAAATATGATTATATTAATAAAGTCAATTTACAGCTTTTTGGAAAGATGCCTATTGTGTAAAGAAAGGTTAGTTAACACCAACAAATCAAAGTCTTCTCCCTAGCAACATCATTTTAAGAGAAGATACAATAACTGTAGAGGGGTTAGAAATAAGCGAAGAACCATGATTCTTAAAAATTAATAAAATGGCATGGACTATTAAACTCCTGTAAGCAGCAACATCTTTTCATGATTAACTAAAACAGCCTATAAACATATAAAAAGGAAAGCAAAACAGACAACACTTACTTAAAAGATACTGCCAGTAACACTTCCAGATCTCTTGTAAATTTTTAAAGACTAGTTGAATGAGGTACAGTGAAAAGGACCAGCCTCCCACCAGGATGATATAAATGGGACTTTTCTAAGACAAAGAAATGAAAGCAAAAAAGTTACAATAGGCTTTTCATACATAAAAGCAAAATGGAACTATGATTTAAAAAAAAAAAATTCAACCTACTAAAAAACACATCTTAAAAAGATGTCCTTTATATTTAAAATGGTACAGTCTGGCAAAGAACACTGGGAAAATGAGATGCTAAATAACATAAAAGCCTGACTATGTAATTAGCAAACAGAAAGAAGACTTTAATCCCCACTGAGCACAGAATTTTAAATAAAAAGGGAGAGTCTGTATGTAACCAGGCCCAAGATTCATCACGGAAAGTACCTTTCTAAATTAAGAGAAGCATAGGACATTGACTTATCAGCCATCAATGCAAATTTTCAGTGCTGTAAGATTATTCAAGCAAACAATCCGTCAACTATCCAAGCTCACCCTAATCACCTGTGAGTATTCTGCTATTTACCTTGGGCATAAACTTGGATAGCATGAAAATGATGATTAGCAGAGAGGCCACAATTCCCACACTCATGCCGGTGGAATAGTAGAAGATCTGGCTTCTGCAGAGAGAAAATGTATTTCATGACTATTTGTGTATTCTTCATACATGGCATTCATTGTTCAAAGTAGGACAACTATCCCAGCCAAAAGAGAAAAAAAAGTACAAGGTTAGAGCACGTATTTGCCCAAAACTTGAGGTCAGAAAACTGAAGAGACTGGTACAATGTGGTTGCTGCCAGATTATAAGGATTAGTATCAATGAGGTCCCCTCAAATAATATACCTCAGTAATATACCTCTGCTTACCACTCCCATCCCCAACATCTCTACCAATCCAATTTTTAATAATCTTTCTTCTGAGGAACTGTATACCTTCTTTGGGGAGAAGGGACAGGAATACTGCCTTCATGGAGACTGGAAACTAGAACTGAATTGATTACCCAGAAGGATAAACCAAACACAGGGCATAGAACAGAAAGCTCTTACTCCTATTTCAGGCTCCTCCTATCCAGTTATGCCTCCCTCAGTGTTTCTCTCTGGATCCCCAAATAAGGAACTATCACCAATCTCACTCCAGCCCACCTTCAAACTTCAATTGTTAATCTTTCATTCACTACTCCACAGATATTCTTTTTCCTGTATACAGTAAATGCTGATTCTACCTTTGCTCAATGTTTGTCTAGTTATCTATTTTTTTATATTTGTACATGTCAGTTTCACCTAGCTTAGCTAGTAAGTTCCTCAAGGCAAGAAATGAATAATAAGTAGTTAATGTCTGTTTCTTTACCTCTGAACGCATGAAACTTATCAACACATAGTCTAGTAAAAATAAGGGCTTAACACATTTCTAATGGTGAAAAATGGTTAAATCCCATCATGAGATGGGTCAAACAAATAAGGGAGATTTCATTATTGACAATCTTATTCAATACCAAAAAAAAAAATTGTAACATATATTAAAGTATTTTTTTAATTATCCAAGCAGGCAATGGCCTAGCCGTAAAGGTCCTGGAAAAGGGAATGGAAGCACTTAAAGTTTTTATGATAAAAGTCAAGCAGGTGGGTCTAAGCCTTATCATTCCACACTCTAGCCTTGGAACCTACCTGCTCAGCAAGTCTCCACAAAAAAATAACATAAGTCCAAGGAAGAAAACGAGGAAGAGTTTGGGGTCAAATCCTGAAATAAATAGAGACTTCTGCTTAATAGGGGAACCAAACAATTTAAGGCATTATAGTAGTCCCCCCTCATCTGCAGAGGATACGTTCCAAGACCCCCAGTGGATACCTAAATCCATGGATAATACTGAACCCTATCCATACTGGATTTTCCTCTCTCTATATATATATATACCTGATAAAGTTTAATTTATAAATTAGGCACAGTAAGAGATTAACAACAATAACTAAAAATAGAACAATAACAACATACTATAATAAAACTTATGTGAATGTGGTCATTCATTTCAGGGGACCCCTTGCTGAAGTCCATGTACAGGCTCAATGTTGTCTGGCGCAACACACTGCTGCCAGTCGGAACATATTTTCTGTTCATGTCTTCCACCCACAAATTTAATGCCTTTTCCGTCTTAACTAAGCACTTAATCATGTACCACAGCGGTAGCTTTTGCAGTTTGAGGTGCAACAGCAAAACTAACATGGATTTCTTTTTCCTTCTTCACAACTTCACGGATAGAAGATTCGTTCTTACCAATTATCTTAGCAACCTCAGCATACATTTTTTTCCTTTCCTTATTAAGTCAATAACTTTCACCTTTTATTTAAAGCACTGTACGGCTTCTCTTTGGCACACCTGAATTGCCAGCATCATTGCTCTTGTGCTTTGGGGCCATTAGTAAGTAAGAGTTACCTGACACAGGCACAGTCACCTGCAACAGTCAGTCTGATAACCCAGACAACTAAGTGGCCAATGGGAGGGCAGAGTAAACAGCATGGATACACTGGACAAAGGGATGATTCACATCCAGACAGAATGGTTCGAGATGTTTTCATGCTACTCAGAATGGCACGCAATTTAAAACTTATGAATTGTTTATTGAATTGTTTATTTCTGGAATTTCTCATTTAATATTTTTGGACCAAGGCTGACTGCAGGTAACTGAAACCACATAAAGTAAAACCATGGATAAGGGGGAACTACTGTACAGAATTAAAAACAATGTTGGCATTATTGGTTAACTAATAAAATAAATGCAAACAGCTCACTTAAACAGCATGTAAATTCCACACAAAGCCTAAGCATCCTTCAAAGAGAAAGTGTAATTAGGTCTCTGTCTAACCTGTACTTTCCTGAAGACCTTATTTTTATTTTGGCTAAATACACTAAAGCTAAAAGAAATCAAGTTTTGCTTGGATAGAGCCAGGCACAGTGCCATCAGCACTTCATGCAATCGCCCACAAGGGGTCTCTACCACTCTGGCTTTCAAGCCTTAAGTCACTTGTAGGCTGGGATTCAGCAGATTGGCCTAGACTTTGGGCCTGGGCCCTCTGTTGTTCTTCAACTGGCTGCTTCTCTCACCCAACATCACTATTCTCTTCCTTTTGCTACACAACCATTGTGTTAAAAAAGCCTACACCCAAACACATCTCACCTAGGACCAGGGGCCTCCAGCAGAGGTCCCTTAGTGGCATGCCAAACGCTCCCACAGCTTTCACATTTAAGAGCTTTGAGTCTAGGGGAGATCCACAACGGAACAGGAGCAAGAGATCAGTAAATGTAAAAGGAACACTAAAAAACAGGTCAATCCTATACAACCAAAGAACTGTAGAACTCTAGGACAATTAGAAGGGCACAAACTACTTTGTAGCAAAACCCAGGAATGTTTCTACTACTTGCAACAACCCAGGACCCTGGGTATGTAACCAAAGAGAGACCAAAAGTCATGGAAAATTCAACAGCATAGTGATCTGCCTCCTCTGTGAAACTTTCTCAGACACATTCAGAAAAGGGAAAACTTCTTCCAGTTCCACTAAATAGGCCTTAAACTAAAGTGATCTTCCAATTAATTTATGGTTCTACAAATACCTTTCGCTTGTGAAGTATTAATATTCAGTTCTACTTTTCTTCAATTTTTACTGTTTAACCATTCATGTCTTCAAATGTAGACTTTACGTTTCAGGACATCTATCTTTGCCTAGAACTACCCAGAAGGCAGGAATACATCTTTCTTACTCTAAAGAATATTAGGACTATCAGGTCAGGGCCATTGGAAGTATTAGGAATGTACATCTTCACAATTCTAACTAAGGAAGTACTCAGAACTATCTAAGGTGAAGTCACAAATCTAGGCCTAAAGGATTTTATGCGGGGTGGAGTGTCTCTCAACTGCCTGGAGCAGTGGTGTACTTAGGTTATAATCAGAACCAAAATGGAACTGTCTTGAGCTGACTTCTTTGTCTAATTATACCATCCAAAGCTTAGTCCCGTCTCACTACAGAATCCACCAGAAAAAGAGAGGTAAGACTTACTGCGGGTCACAGTGACACTGTACTGGGTGTCTTCCTCTATAATCTCAACTTTGAGGCAGGTTTTTGTGCTGTATAGACCCACATTAACATAGGTGTCATTCAATTTCTCTTTTAAAAAGGAGGAAAAAAAGTTCCAGATACTAAACTGCTCTAGCTCCTTCAGTTTCTCCTCATTCTCCACCTGGGTGACTCGCACCAGTTTGGAACTATTTACCCGGATCTGTAACACAAATAAAATCTGGATGAGAAAAAAAGTAGGAATTTAAATTCTCACAAACACAATTGAAAAAAAACTTTAGAGCAAATATCTAAATCAGAAATGGCACTAGTTTTCCACAAGCCTTATGAAAAACATAGATGCAGTGGCTAAAACATATTAGGCAAATAACACTGCACATGGTACAAAGAGGCAGCTGTTAGAAGGCCTTATTGTTAACATAATCTAAATCTACTATTAGGCCAGAACATAGAGGAGGGAAAAAGACTTCCAAGCTGAAAGAGTTATCAACAACTATTTATGAGAGATCATACAAAGTAAGGGCCTAGAATACTAAGAAAATTGCCAGGCATAAACCACCCCAAAAATGTTTCCCATAATGACAGGCTGAGAAATTCAACCCTTTGTCACGAATCACTGACTATGGGTAAATGTTGGTTATAATTTGCCCCAGATGGAATATGATCTGTATATCAGACAATTAAAAAAAAAAATTAAAAAACCCACAAGCCCATCCTTATGTTTTTGATGTGAACAACAAATGTCCTTATCAGTAACTATGCTTACAGAAGCAGCAATATTTCCCAAAGGACTCATTTTGTTCAATCATTATTACAGCCAGACACTCTTGCTTGCCAGGTAGTTTAACAGTGTCATGAAACAAATGAAACCAAAGTCATTCTATCAAGGGGAAACTTCAGCTCAGAGGGTTATGAAACATCTTGTGTAGAATCGAAATAGGAGCAGCAAGACAAAAGAATTTACATCCTGACAGGCACGCAACAGTTTCCAAGCCAAAGACACAACAGTTTCCAGGCCAAAGACACAACAGTTTCCAGGCCAAAGACGGCATAAGGCCTTTAAAAAGA